GGCAATTTCAACAACTTGGCAAATCCATATATCGTTTTATCCGCCTAAAACATAATATCAAGATCAATAGATGATTCAAACAATTAATTGATGAAAAAATACACATAAACAAACAAGGTTAAGACAATTAATTGATGAAAATATATTAATGTATTAAGCAAGTGAGATATGAGCATGATCATTGCTATGACATAACCCACAAGAGCATATCATGTACAGTTCCTGCAATACTCAAAGATGTCTTGCATCCTTGTTCTGAGCATCATGATCCACCATTGACAGGTGATTTGTCAAATTATGAGGATGATCATTGTCTCCCTTTTTGCCTTGGGTTTTTACAAAGGTTGTGCTGCCAATTCAGACAAATAAATTTCATCTTAGCCCTGAAATCATCTTGCACCTAATTAATTAAAAGTGAATAATTTAAAGATATTGATAACAATTCTTACTTTTCTTTTGGCCTTGCAATTATTCTGCACCTAATTTAAGAGTGATTAATTTCCTCTTCCTAACTATTATATTACTATTTAATTTAGTTCGATTGAGAGATAAATAACAGTAACATGAATCTGGGACTATCAGATTTAATTAGGTGCAGATTAGTTGCTAACAGTGATTAAATTAGGTTCAGTTATCTTTGGAAGCATAACTTTCAGAGTTTGTAGGTGTGATGTAATTAGGTGCATTTTCCATCTAAAAAGTAATCCACCATCATAGGAATCCTAAAATAGGTTTTTAGAAATTTCCAATGTAATTTTTTACAGTACTCTTCATGATTGTTCATTGACTTTTGGCTATATTTATCCCAAAAGCACAACAAGAACAACAACTCTTGAGAAAAGTAACAAGGATGAAGTTCCATATAAAATAAAACAAGGTAAACCAACAAAAGAACATTTTAAACCATGAACACTTGCATTAAAGCTTTAAACATGTAAGAACACATTGGATACCAAGTACTAGTAGATGGATTTATATACCCGTGGCTTATTAGAAAATTGATAAAGAAGAGGTTTCTTCGAAATACAAACCTGAGATCTAGAAAGCATTCATAAAAATCCCTCGTATCTTCGTCATCCCATATGGGTTCAATAGAAGAATATTTTCCAGAAGCAGGAGCAATAATCTCCCCGTCAACAATCGACATAGCTGTATTGACCATCCATGTCTGTGAGTTGCGGTAACTGGAGACACAGTTGTTAAGGAATTTGGAATCAGTGTGGCATAATGAGAGAATAATAGTTTACAGAAAGTGAAATCACATGTTAGGATTTTGTGATTCAAAGAATTTCATCTTATTTTTAGGGAAAGAATTGCAACATGATAGGGTTTTTTGATGAGACTTGAAGAAAAGAATGAAATTTGGGAGAGGGAAGAATGATTTATTGAAAATATTGAGGCGATTGAATTAACCGTTGAGCTAAAGAAATGAACAGCTTTTGAAAAACATATGCTGTACTATATTAACGACGATTGTAAAATGTGTCACCATCGAAGGCTTTGTGCTAGGACAGTTTTGTAAACCGAATGGGCCTTTAATTTAAATTGGATTCTAATTCTTTAGAAAAAATAAGACGGTTGGCATTAACTTCCATAGTAACTATCGCGGATATGAAATAAGGATAGTTTTTCCACAAGGGTCGCAATCTATGTGTCGTAAAATGAAGAATTTCTTGTAGTGTATAATTCTCCACTGTTACTAGTAGACATGGCAATATAACTCATACCCGCGGGTACCCGTCTGAACCCGCCCCGAATTTGACGGGGAAAATCCACTTTGATTGAGTTTGGGTTTGGGTTCGGGTTTGGGTTTTCCCCGATTTTTAAATATGGGGACGGGGCGGGTAATGGAGACTGTAGTACCCACCCCGAACTCGTCCCCAAACCCGCCCTGTTTATTATTATGTGGTTGTTTTGTTGGTATTTTGGAATGTAGAGTATTTTTTTACTATGCGTTTGTTTAGATGGTAGTTTGAAATATTGACTAGTGGTGTTATTTTCCTCTTTGAAGATGGAGAATAGCATGTAGAGAAAGAAAGAAGACAATATTAGTATTGGTCACTTATCTATTTTTGACTAGCAATTTCCATTGACAAATGATGTTGAATATTTTTAGTTATGTGGTTGTTTTGTTGGTATTTTGGAATGTAGAATATTTTTTACTATGTATTTGTTTGAATGGTAGTTTGTAATATCAATTTGTATTTTATTATTTAGTTTTTATATTTTGTATTATTTGGTTTTGCTAATTTGAAATATTAATGGTATGATTAATGAATTAATACTTTCGTTTGTATTTTATAATTCGAAATATATGTTTGAAATTTTTCGAGATTGTATTTTATTTTTGTAATGCAAGTTAATATTTCTTAAGATTGGGACAGGTTTTGGGTTTGGGGCAAAATTTGGGTTCGGGGCAAAATTTGGGTTTGGGGGCAGGACGGGAATCCTCAAACTCATTTGGGACGGGGTTGGGGTTCAATTATTCATCCCCGCTGGGGTTCGGGGCGAGGAACGGGGATTTATTTGGGATTCGGGTTTGGGTTTGGGGAATACAAAGACCGTCCCCGCCTCGTTGCCATCCCTAGTTACTAGGAATCGTCTCCGACCAAGAGTGGGGTCCCCTTCCCTGTCCCAAATTTGAGCCTAGATCGAGGTGGACATCTTTGGGCTCCACAATTTACACCCTTGGAATGGCTAGCTTCTAAAGGGGTGTGCCAGTTGCAGCATAATGCACTTATCTCTTTAACCATGTTCTCAAAAGAAATAGGATAACACATGGAATTTTAACAGGTTACAGCCTTAGTCATATTAGAGAACAATAAATATGATTAGGAATCTGAATACCTTTAAAGTATTTAACATGAATATTGTTTGAGGACGTGATTTAGGGTTCATTCTTGGCATGTGATTTAAGGGACCAAGGTTGACCATGATTCCTAGAAAGTACATCAATGAGACATGTACTCGCCGCCTTTCTACCTGTTAGTCCATTTGGTCGGCTTCGACGAGTTCGTTCTCTTGCATTGGTGAGTGGTAGTATTGAGATACGCCCGAAAGACTCGAATCCTTTCGTTGATCTGCATTATTTGTTGTATTCTTGTGCTCTCTGATTCCATTCTTTGTTCTGTTTATGCGAATCGACGAAAGTTTGACCCCAAAGGCTTCTCTTTACATGGTGAATCCCCTTGGTGTCGTCGACGTTAAGAATTAGGAGGAACGTCTAGGCAGAAGGCACGGAGGAATTCTAAGCAACTGTAATTTCCCTAATCTTAGTGTCACATCACGATGAACTGGCTTTTGCATCAGACATGGTCTGATCATGGAAATTCACGGGAGTCACAAGTCGATTTTCACAAACAACCCCACTCTTCTGTATCAAAACCAGAATTATGCTTGATCCAGAAGGTTGGACTCCTATTAGGACGTTGCAAGTCTCTGATGTGGTGGATCGTAGTGGTGGACCTGCAAGGTTAGCACTTCAACGCCTAAATCGGTGATAGAAAAAATAAGTAGAGTGAATTGTGAAAAGTATGAATACATGCGGTCTCACACGTGTAAAATTCTTGGATTGACCAAGTTGTTTGCCCTCTTTTGAAAAAATTAATGGACCTCTTCTTATTAGGTCTTCGATTGGCCCAAAACAGAATTGTAGTTATTTTATATGAGAAAAAGAAATTAAGATTGATTTTATAAAATTGTCTTTTATTAATGATATTAAAAAAATAAATATATATAATTAAAAGATTAGTAAATATTAAAAGTATAATAGAAAAAACAATATTAATTATTCATTTATACGATGAAACCACGTATGCTTTGATAAATTTTTTAAAAAGTGATTTATAATTAAATATATATATATATATATATATATATATATATATATATATATATATATATATATATATATATATATATATATATATATATATATATATATATATATATATATATATATATATATATATATATATATATATATATATATATATATATATATATATATATATATATATATATATATATATATATATATATATATATAGTATTTTTCTATCTTATCCTATTAATTTTTAATCCAACTCAAAATTAAGATAACATATAATACAAACATCTTATCATGTTTCTTATCCGTCCATCTTGACACCAAAGAGACTTTAAATATCTGTTTGTTTCAACTCCTTTTTTAGAATAATTTGTATAATATTATATATGTTTGTTTAAAAAAATTTTAAAATTTAAAAAAAAAATTCAAAAGAAAAATTAAATTAAATATTGTTTTCATTTAGTATTATTTAAGATACTTCTTCCTTTTATTATAACTTTATTTAGATATCAAAGTTTCAAAAATTCAATCAAATTTTAAATTATTTTGAATAAATTTTTATAAAAAGTAATTTTGAGATATATCTTTAAAAAAACATATGTGATTTCATTAAAATTTAATTGTAATTGAAATACACTTGAAAGTGTAAAAGAATTTTAGACGGTCAGTTAATCATAGTCATTGAATATTGAGAAGAGTTTGACTTTTATTTTAATCACTTATAAAGTAATGCAAACGAATTATAGTGATAAATTGACAGTGTAAAATATTTTACACCGAGAGTACATAGTAATTAATCTCTTTCATTATTAATCTTTAATAAATTATGTTTATTTTACTAAATGGAAAAATTAATCATTTAATTTATAAAAAATCAATTTAAAATAACTTTGACTATTGAGTTTTTTTAATAATTGTTTTCTGTAAATAAAAAGAAAAAAAAATTAAAATAAAAACAAACAGATCCTAAAACATTTAAGATTAAGTTTCTATATAAAATGTAAGTAAAGCATATTCACTTTAACCAAATTTAATTAAATTCAAATGATAAAACCTTTACAAATTCTTTAGACCAAAACAAAAACTTTGTTTAACAGTAATAATCCTACCAACCCATATCCTCCTCCCCTATAAAGGAGAGATTGAAGAGTTGCATCATTGCATGCATGAAATGGCTAAGACGGCATTGTTGATAGGGTGCAACTATCCAGGAACAAAGGCTCAGTTAAACGGATGCGTTAACGATGTATGGAGAATGCATGAATGTCTCATTCACTATTATGGATTCTTAGATGAGGATATCACAGTTCTCATTGACACAGACAGTTCTTATACTCAACCTACTGGCAAGAACATTCGATCTGCCATGTCTAGATTGCTTCGATCGGCTCAGCCCGGTGACGTGCTATTCGTTCATTACAGCGGTCATGGCACTCGTCTCCCTGCTGAGACTGGCGATGACGATGATACTACTGGCTATGATGAATGCATTGTTCCCACAGATATGAATCTCATCACTGGTTAATTTTCTTGCTTCTTTTTACTTTAAATTTAAGTGATAAACTGAAACAATGTACCTTATTTGTATAATATATTAAATAAATTGATTTTATATATATATATATATATATATATATATATATATATATATATATTTGTCAAGCCATGTTAATTTTTATTTTGGTTGCCAAACAGATGATGATTTCAGGGAGTTTGTAGCAAAGGTACCTAGGGGTTGTAAGATCACAATCGTATCAGATTCTTGTCACAGTGGTGGATTGATTGAATTAGCAAAGGAGCAAATAGGAGAGAGCACACATGAAGGAGCACCAATTTCATCACCAGGCTTCAAAAACTTCCTTCACAGAACAGTGGAAGATACACTGGAGTCTCGTGATATTGATGAAGAACATGGTGGACTTCATCATGAGAATCAAAACTATGTGAAGAATAGGTCTCTGCCTCTTTCAACTCTTATTGACATACTAAAGGAGAGAACTGGAGAAGATGATGTAGAAATTGGAAAGATAAGGCCTACGCTATTTCATATCTTTGGAGAAGATGTTAGTCCTAAAGTGAAGAGCTTCATTAAGTTTTTCTTGAACAAAATTCATCAGGGAGATGGTGAGAGTGGAGGCCATAGCGGGATTCTGGGGATGGTGAAAAACATTACCCAGGGACTTCTCAACTATAAGTTGAATGACAGTGAAGAAGAGTATGAAGATCCTGACAACCATACACCAGAAGAATATGCTACATCAACTAAGCGTAACACTATAGAGAGTGGAATTCTACTTAGTGGTTGCCAAACTGACCAAACTTCTGCGGATGCAAGCCCTGGTGGAAATCCTAAGGAAGCTTATGGGGCATTTAGCAATGCCATACAGGCTATAATTGCAGAAACTGGGGGTGCGGTTACAAATCGACAGCTTGTTTTGAAGGCAAGGAAGAAACTTCATAGGCAGGGTTATACTCAGAAGCCTGGACTTTATTGTAGTGATGATAATGTCAGTGCTCCTTTTGTGTGTTGATTTGATCGATAGTGGTACAGGTTATGTTGTTGATTTTCAAGTACTTTTATGAGTTTCGAACAATCAATATATATTTATTTCATCTCTGATTATATATGTGACATATGATCTTTAATGAATATTGTGTAGCATATAACCCAGAAAAATTCATATCTTAGATTTGAAAGGAAACTCGTGTGTGTATATATATATTTATTAACAAGGACAACAGAAAAATTCAATGGTGTCAAATATTGTTTGTGTGTGGGGGTGAAGTATCATAAATGTTTTTTATCTGTCCGCGACCGTCAGGTTCAATGCGTAGAAAATTTATTCCATTTGGTCTGAGTGTTAAAAATAATTTATATTTTACAAAGTTTAGTGACTAAGTTTTGTTAGAGGGTAATTTAATACTTTATATGTTGTCTATGTGGCCTTAGTTTTGTGTATAAATAGACTAGTGATAAATGTCATTTTAATGTAATTTCTTTCTTACAACTTTGTAGTTGTCATTTGCAGAATATAACGTTTTCGTTCTATTCATCTCTTTTAACCTTTTGCACCAACAATTGGTATCTAGAGTTTCACTTCGGATCCACGGGGAAACACGAGTGAAACGGTGAGGCGTTGTGTGGTTGATTTTATTTCTTGAATTCGTGTTGAATCTTGAACGGAATTGTAACAAAATCACATTTTCTGATTATGCGGGATTGGAAAACACTGTGTTTGCTGAGATCTGAGTGATTGAACAAGGTTGAAGATGAACGGAAACAGTGGTCTGAGCACCAAGCTTCCAGTGTTTGATGTAAAAAACTGGACTCGTTGGATGATTCAGATGCGTGTATTGTTCAGTGCTCAAGATGTGCTTGATCTTGTCATTGAAGGTTATGTTCCAGTTTCAACAAATGCAATAGAGGAACAAAAGAACACGCAGAAAGATACGAGGAAAAAAGATCATAAAGCATTGTTCTACATCCATTAGTGTGTGGATGCAAATGTGTTTGAGAAAATCGTTGATTCAACGACGGCGAAGGTTGCGTGGGATACACTGGTCAGGTGCTATGATGGTGATGCATCAGTGAAGAAGGTGAAGTTTTAGTCCCTACAAAAGCAGTATGAGAATCTCAACATGAAGAATAATGAGAAGGCATCTGAGTACATCTCCAGAGTGATTATGATCAATAATGAGATAAAAGTTTGTGGAGAAACCCTTTCTGAACAAGTAATCATTGAGAAGGTATTGAGATCTCTTACCCCTCAATTTGATTAAATTGTTGTAGCAATAAAATATTCTAAAGATCTGAGCACCATGAGAATTGAAGAGTTGCAAAGTAGTCTAGAGGCACAAGAGTTGCGTCTGACTGAGAGAACTTCTAAAAAGGAAGTAGAGCAGCAGGCTCTGAAAGCATCGGAAACAGTCTTGGTTAGAAGTCAGGAGAAGATCTGATGGTGTTCAGAAGTCATAAACCTCAACTTCTGATAGGCAGAAAAACGCTCAGAAGGGAAAAGAGAGGTATGACAAGAAGAAGATCCAATGCTACTGTTGTAAGAAGTTTGGTCATTTTGCTGCTGATTGCTGGTCAAATAAGGAAAGGAAGTCAGAAAAAGCAAATATAACCAGAAGTTCTGGTGATGAATCTGTGCTACTGATGGCTTCTGAATCTGATGATACGAATTTGACAGACCGGTGGTATATGGACACTGCCTGCTCAAATCATCTTACTGGAAATAAGAAATGGTTGGTTGACTCTGGTAAAAGGACAAAGATCAGATGTGCTGATAATAAATACCTCAACGCTGAAGGTATGAGAAATGTCAAAGTCGTTCTGAACAATAGAAAAACAACATTGATTCAGAAAGTGTGGTATGTACCTGCGCCAGAGTACATACCAGAGATCACCGCCATCGTTTGAAGATCACCAATTCTTCAACTACATCAATTTTTGGTTCCTAAACGGATCATTTTCTTTTTCTATTTAAAGAGAATATGAAGTTTTGGTTTCAATGAAAGGTGAGATGGAAGAAGTTTCCTTTGAGGATACCTTAAACTCTATATTATGAGCATTTAACTTGCCTTCCCCCTTCCAAGTTGTACCGAGCACCCTTACATTTAGTATATAAGTCGATTTCAGTTAGGTAATAAAGGTTCACAATTTTTATCAGTATTATCTATAAAAGTCGAGTGTCCAAGTCACAAAGAGAAAAGAGTTTGTGAGAGAACAAATATGAATTTGCATCCCCCTTTTAATTCTTTAATCATAGCACTTACTTTTATTTTTTTTCTTTATTTTACTTTAGTTCTTAAAACAACTCTGCATTGTTCTTATTGGGATTTCTATCCAATTTCTTTTCACTCAAACATCAAATATTCAAGTACAAACATACTTTTTCAAATATTTTGCACAACTTATATAGAGATTTTGTTTTTGAATTTAATCCCTTAATTGAACAAAAAGTTTTGATTTGATTTACCAAAAACAACGGCATATGGGTTGCTGATCCCATTGAACCAAAACTTGGTGGACTTTTTGTCACCCTTTGATGATGGCTCTAGCTTCTAAAATCTCCACTGGCCATATAATTGGTCATGTATCCGTCATAATTGGTCATGTATCCGTCATAGTGAGAGGAGTTGTTTTTATGTGGTTTGGTAATAGAGATATACTTCTCTTCATAAACCTTTGCTAGGGACACTGCCTTAACGATGGATGTGGGTGTGTGAATCAATACATCACGACGGATATCAACATTTAAGCCACTAATGAAGCAATCAATCAGAGCATCATTACTAAGACCATATACCATATTAGCTAATGCAGTGAATTGCAGATTGTATTCCGAAACCGTACCAAATTGAGTAAGCTTGAACAGGGTAGCTCGAGGACATTCATAAATGGATGGACCAAAATCCAACTCTAAACCGCGCGTAAACTCAAGCCACGAATGAAAAGGGACAGTTTGTTGCACCATTTGATACCATGGTATCCTTATCCAGATGTACTGATGAAATGGTTAAACGATCTGAATCTGGAGTATCATAGTAATCGAAAAAATGTTCAGCACGGAAGATCCATTCATGCAGGTTTGTACCATCAAATCGAGGAAAATCAAGTTTCACGTTTATCACCTGGAACGACGGTTTGTTGATGAGTCCAACACCATGGTTGAATTTCGATGGAGTTTGTTGGATCAAAATGTCAAACGCATAATGAATTTGAGCAAACCTGGATTCATAACTCATCTACATCGCCTCCATTCGATCGAATCTGGAAGAGTTTCCGACTTCCAAACTTTCTAACCGCTCCAACATTTCCTCTTGAAACTACTTGAGGTCCTCTGCATTGCGCTTGATCTCAGCTTGCATTTCCTTTGTTTTTGTGTCAGCCATGGTGTAATGAAAGCACCAATGAAACAGTAGTGAAGAATGATAGGGAAAAAAGGAAGTATTATTATATAGAAATAACACTCAACTAGAGTTCATACAAGAGTTAAGGAGAGAATAGCAGAATTTTCACAATTCACACATAACCATCAACAATCCTTAAGTAGATCTCATGTTGATCTCATGTTCTCACGTAACCCTTAATCCTGCTATTTTACTTGTGCACTCTCTCTCCTCTTCGTGCTGCCACAATTTCAGGTTTGTTAGTAACAGAATTATTTCATGCATGTGGGTCCACATTGTAATTAGTGATTCATTAGTTTCTAGAAGTTGTGCCACCCTCATGGAGCCAGACACCTATTACTTATCTTAAACTCGAGGATGAGTAGGGGGTTGAGCTGGATCAAGATGTCACTCCTGATGAAATTCGAAGGGCGCTGTTTGGCATGAAACCGTGGAAAGCGCCAGGACCTGATGGTTATCCTGCAGATTTCTATCAGATATCTTGGGATATTGTCGTGCAAAGTATTTGAAGGCAGCCAAATTTGATGGGGGAAGTTAACCAAACTGATATTTGTCTCATCCCCAAAGGAGAGCACCCTATAACGATTATGCAGTTTCGGCCTATTTCACTTTGTAATACTATTTATAAGGTGATTGTGAGAAGGTTGAAGAAACATGAATAAGTTGATATGTACATACCAAACTGGCTTTGTTTAGGGTAGAGCGATTCACGAGAATATTATTCTACCAAGAGAAGTCTTGCATGTTATAGAGAAAACAAAAGGAAAGAAAGGGCATTTTCTCATTAAAGTTGATATCTCGAAAGCTTACGACAAACTAAGCTGGGAGTTTATTTAGTATACTCTTCAAGAAATCAACTTTCCTGCTAGCATGATCAATGTCATCATGTATGTATGACATATGTTGAAACTAATGTAAATTGGGACGGAGTCCGAGGTAATTTCTTTTGCCCCCAACGAGGTATTAGACAAGGCGACTCTATTTCGCCATACTTATTCGTTCTGTGCATGGACAAATTAACCCATCTCATTGTGCATGAAGTGAATCAAAATAATTGGAGAACACTACGCCAGAAATGACTTTTAGCAGCGCAACAAAAGACAGCGCTTTCTAAAAAAGCGCTGCTAAAGGGTCATGAAAAAAAAACAAAAAAATAGCATACCTAAGACAGCGCTTGTTAAAAAAGCGCTGCTAAAGGGGGGGTCTACGAAAGCGCTTTTAAAAAAGCGCTGCTAAAGGGGGTCCTATAGCAGCGCTTTTAAAAGCGCTGCTAAATGCCAAAAAAGCGCTGCTAAAGGGGGTCCTAAGGCAGACCTATAGCAGCGCTTTTAAAAGCGCTGCTAAATGCCAAAAAAAGCGCTGTTATAGGTTTAAGTAGCATAAATTTAAAAAATCTCAATATTTTTGCAAAATCAGAACAGTTTTCTTCTTTCTTATTTCCACTTGCAAACGTTGCCCTATTCAGAATTAGAACAGTCACCATCGACGCATTTCGTCCGCGCCTCCGTCCGACAGCCTCCATCCGTCGCCTTTCCTCCGGTCATTCCGTCGTCACCTCATTCTGCCGCCGTCCGTCCATTTTTGACGGTCATCTCCGTCTTCCACCAGCGCATTT